CACCACACACACACACAAGCCGACGGGCGGAGCCAAGAGGGGGAATACACAACACAGAACTCACTGTGGGCCGCGAATGAAGAGAGAGCACCCACGCATATACAGAAAAAAAGAGACGCATTGTAAACCAAATGTAAAAAAGTGTAGGAAAACGAATAAATAATTTCGAGAGACGGGGGATAAGAGGGGAACACCAAGGCATTATTTGTGAATTCATGCGTGGATGTCTACATTGGTATCGTGCATCACGGCAGCCTCCACAATATTGTCCGCCCAAAGAAGATGGGTTCCTATTCAACAATCAAGAGTATACTCACACATTCGCCCCATCCGCTCAGCTAAATGTAAGCGGAGAGGTCTATGGTTCCAAATCAGCAAGACATGCATGCGGCGGTACGGCGTCGAAGCCGGGCCCAGTGTGTCGGCACCTACGGGCACCACTGCGCTGAAATGTCATTGCCACGTTAAAATCAATCACAGATTCATCGCTAGGGCAACGGCCCAGTTTGCTCAAATAACGCTGGTTGCCGCCCCCGCCGCCCCTCCAGAGGTCCCAACTCCCACTGAAGAACTCATTCATACTTTCATTGTCCACGATGCAGCCTTCCCCCTGTGCACCGGTGGTGCGCCGCGCAATCACCAGACCGTCTTCATCGACTGAAGTGATTCGCTTGCATCTGGCGACACGTTGAGAAGCGGACACCAATTTCGGCAATTCGGTGGACCAGGAAACCCGCGACGCCGCAACCGTGCCTGCAGCCACATTCTCGCACCTGAAAGGATGGATCGCGACGGTTTCGTTCCCGATTACAGTGCCCGTGAACTTAACTGGCGATGACGGAGACGACAGGAAGTAAAAACGCGTCGACGCCGCACACTTCCTAGGACGGATCGGTGAAGGCGCCAGGAGGCCTTGGGTTGCCCTGTTATCATTATTATCATGCACATTTGTGCGGTGGCATGTCAAAGGGCTGTTGCGGTGAAATGGGTGAATGCTGCTTGTGGGCTGGCGTCCCAGCCAGTGACTGCTTCCCCAGAAAGAGTCATCAATAGAGTTCGGGTGCCAATTGGCGGAATTGGCCGTGCAATCGCACTCCTTCTGCGATGCAGGCTCCATGCAGCGCCTCTCTATTCCCACTGATGGAGGAAGCACGCGCGGGGCAACGGCCCAGAGAAGGTAGCTATTTACCGACTGAACAACAGCGCACGCACAAAAACAGAAGAAAATAATAATAATAATAATAAACTGAATGCGTTAAAAAAAAAACAATAATGACGCCACATTCCTTCCAGCGCCGCTCGAGCCTCCCCTCGTGGAGCAATCATTACAACCCGGCATCGAGGCACCAGCCCCGTCAGTGATAACGTACGCAAATGTAGCACAGGAGAAGGAAATAAACAGACAACCATTAAAAAAAAAAGGACATCGATAAGGAGAAAGACAACATATATATATGCATATATGCAGAGAGAATTAACAAAAAAAACACACACTTTGCTCAAGAAGCGACTTCAGTGCCAGAGTATTGGATGACTAGGTGGCTGCTGATACTTCCGTGTAATATCCTTCTCTGGTACAGGGGCGGCGGGTGGCGGTGCCAGCGAACCAGCAACCACAGACCGCATCGCGGCCTCCCTCAAGCCACACAAACGCCCGTAATCCGCCTCAGTTATGGGCTGCTTCGCTCGCGTGTTGCAACGCGGCATGGACGCCTGAGACGATGCCGCCGGAAAGAGTGTTTGTAGAGAAGGCGCCAGAGACGCCATAGAAGCATGGTCCCCAAGACATCCGGTGTGGTACATCTCATGTATGCACTCCGCAGCCTCTTCCAGGTTCTTCATCTCCCTTTCAAAGCGAATGCGGCGTTCCTTCAAGAGAAGTTGCAACCTCTCACCTTCCGCCGCCAACTGGCGATACCGCCTTTTCTGTAATTCTTGCAGCCTTGACTGCCGTGCTCGAGCAGTATATTGTTGTGCCTTCGACCGTGCTGCTCGCTGTCGTTCCCGCATCTCCCGAACTGTGGTATTGGGCGTTATGGAGGGCTTGCAGTCACCACCGATGCTTCTCGCATGAAGAAACTCTTCAAGCCTTCGTGCGGCTTCCCTCCGTCGCATCTCATGCGCCGCAAAAGCCTCCACTTGCCGCTGCCTCTTAATTAGCTCTTCATTCATTCGCCGAAAGTTGTTCACACGCAAACGGTGCTGAAATCCCGTTGAAGGCTCTTCATTGTATTCCCGTTCCACATCAAGACCCGACGACTCTGCCGCATGCCTTCGGCCTGTTCTACTCCTTGCGCGGTCACCGGCCCTCCTGTCGGAGTTCCGTTTAACTGGTGTGCGCCCTAATCCTGGGCGAAGTTGCTGCTGCGCCTGCGCCCTGGAAAGGGCAACCGAATCAAGATGCAGCGTATAAAGTGACTGGCGCACAATGGCCAGGAAGGCGTTGTGACAGGAGTGCAGAAGGTTCAGGCGGCCCACGATCTCCTCTTCCTTCACGGCACTCAGGGCCTCAGCTGCACACTGGTGCCGCAGCACCAGTGCGATAGGAGCTGGATGCAGGCCAATATCGTTCTCGTCACGCTCAACCGCGTCCGTTTCCTTCTTCTCCACCGGTGCCGGGGATGTTCCCTGCCTCGCCCCACCTGTGAGCATGACGTTCTTCGTGGGAAAGGGATACACAGAGAAAGGATAAAGAGGGTTGACTTGGCGCCTACGAATACCCCGCGCTTGCCTTATCTCGCCCTGTTTCCTCTGCCACTCACCACTCAGGAGAAAAGAACGGGAATAAGAAAAAATAAAGGGGGAGAAAAAGAGGAGGAGGAAGGGAGGGAAGCACATGGATCCGCCGCCGGAGGAAACCGCAAAAAGGCAGTACGCCACGCCCTTTTCTTTTGCTTAAGCTTCCACAGAGAAACAAGCATATATAGTTGAATAAGTTATTGCTCTTTTTTTGTTCCGCTGCTGTGTTTATGGGCCATCAAACTCGTGGGCAGGCTCTCGCCCGCGCCCACTGTCACCCAACAGATGATGATGTCTAAAAGAAAAAAAAAGACTTCGACAGATTTCGATTGTGCTTTATGCTCTTTTCCCTTATTTTTCGCTTGCATTGCGTGCTTCGTATTTTTTTTCTTTTTGAAATGATTCACCGCCTGGTAAAGTCACGCTTACTCTCATCCCGTTCAACGAGGTGGGGGGCGCACCTCCCTGCTGCCCCTCCCCCACTTTTTTTTTCTTCTTCTTTCCTCGCAGTTTTCATTATGCCCAAAGGCGATCACAAGTAACTCAAAGCGCAGCCTTCATCTTTGCCGCCTCTGCAATTGCCTTAGCCATCGCCGCATCAACGCCAGCGGTGGGTAGGCCCGACTGTGCGGCGTGCGGTTTGCCTCCGCCTTTCCCGACGGCCGCCTTCGCCCAGTCGACAGCGCTCAGCTTCTTCGCTGTGAACGCCGCTGGGAGCGTTACTAGCGCGAGTGCCTTGTTCGCATCGGCGCCGAAGAGGAAGAGGCCAACGGCGCCCTGCACGGCTCCTGTGAACCCATCAGCGTAGGCCTGCAGTGCGTCACGCTCGGCCCCAAAGTCGGTCAGTCGTTGCACAAAAAATGGGTTGGCCTCCGCGTCGTATGCATCCGCCGCCGCTCGTCCTGCGGCGGTGGCTTTCTCCTTCAACTGTGCTGCCATTGCCTTCACATTGGCGAGGACAAGCTTTATGCTTCCGTCGATCTCCTCTCGCAAGGCGTTTTTCATCGTGAGCGGGATCTGACTGTCGCCCACCTTCTTGTTCAGCACTGAGAGACTCTTGGCGGTTGAATCTGTCGTCCCACCGGCGATGATGTCGCGGTACTCCTTCTCCAGCAGTTCCCCCTGTGCAAGGGCCTTGCGTGCGGCGTCGCGGGTCGCCACAACAATCCGTCGAACCCCTTTCATAAGTGCTTCCTCTGAGAGAATTACAGCGATATCTGCCTCTTTTAGATTTGACAGGTGCGTGCCACCACAAAATTCCACCGCGTATCCACGCCACTCCTTACTCTCGGGCTTTGCAAGGAGTTCCTCGACAGGGACGCCAACAGAGATGACACTGACAGGGTCGGGGTACTTCTCGCCAAACATCTGTCGCAGTCCCTCAATGCGTTTGGCGGCCTCAAGTGCAACTTCCTTGCGGTACACCACCAGCCCCTGTTGGATTTTCTCATTAAGGACCCGCTCAACCTTGACGAGGTCTTCTTGGCTGACCTTGCTATTGTAGCTGAAATCGAAGCGCAGCATTTCATCGGTAACAAGGGACCCCTTCTGTTGAACCTCCATGTAATTTTCAGGGGCTTCCTCCTCCAGCACGCGCCGCAGGCACCAGTTCAGGACGTGTGTCGCGGAGTGATTCGCAGCGACAGCAATCCTCCGTGTATAGTCCACCTGCAGCTCCACAGAGGCCGTTACAGGAATTGGCACAGGAGCGGAGTTTAACTTCAGCATGCGTCCCACATGCACCACGTAGCCACCAAGGTGGTAAACCTTCTTTACCTCAAACACGGCATCCGCAGCGGCAACGATGCGGCCAGTGTCATATATTTGACCACCAGACTCCGCGTAAAAGTTTGTGACGTCTAGAATGAGGCCAATGTCCTCCTCACCCTCATCGCCAGGCATCAGCATTTCCACAAACTGACCCTTTTTTTTGTTAAAAATAGCCTTTATCTCTGCGGTGTGATTCTCCCAAGTATACTTGGCGGCATCCTCCGTCGGGGCAATCCCCTTCTTTCGGAGCTCATCCAGTTGATGCGCATCAAAAAACGTCTTTGCGGCAGCAACACGACCCGCACTTAGCTGATTTGTCTTCATGGCCGCGTGGAAGCCATTCATGTCCACAGAAAGCTTCGCCTTCTCCGCCAGCAGACAGGTCAAATCAATAGGGAATCCGTAGCGATCGTGCAGAATAAAGGCGTTCTCACCGCTGATGGTGTCGTCCACGGCGTCCACAACGGCCTTGTTGAAGTGCTTAAGCCCCATCTCCCACGTCTTGGCGAAGGACACCTCCTCGTCGGCAAGCACTGTTTTGATGCGCTGCACCGTGCGTGGGTCCTGCAGGTGGGTGAAAAAAGGTCCCAGCGATGTCACAACGGCATCCACAAGTTGGCTAAAAAAACCGACCTTTGCCCCAAGAAACTGCGTGCCGTAGCGGACGGCGCGGCGGATGATGCGGCGCAACACGAAACCACGGCCAACAGAGTCTGGCAGGGCGCCATCCGCCAGTGAAACACTGAGGCAACGGATGTGATCAGCTATCACACGGTATGCTACGGTTGCATCCGAGCCGGTGTCCTCACTTATTTCGGCATATGACTTTTCATACCCCGTTACCATCTGAATGGCCTCAAAGAGGGGCATCCATGCGTCCGTGTCGTAGTTCGAGTGCACGCCCTGCATAATGGACGTCAGTCGCTCAAGACCCATGCCAGTATCCACATGCATCCTCGGCAAAGGCGTCAGCACCCCGCCCTCATTACGTTCAAATTGCATGAAAACCAGGTTCCAAACCTCAATCACCATCGGATCGTCCTTATTCACCAACGCCGCCGCATTGCGACCGCCTATGCGATCAAAGTGCACCTCCGAGCAGGGCCCGCAGGGTCCCGTGTCCCCCATTTCCCAAAAGTTATCCTTGGCATTCCCAGGGAGGACCTGCTCCGGAGGCAGAAACTCCAACCAGACTTGCTTCGCCTCTTCATCGGCTGCTATGCCGCTTGCGGGGTCCCCCTCAAAATATGTCACGTAGAGACGGTCCTTTGGAAGCTTGTACACCTCCGTCAACAGTTCCCATGCCCAGCGAATGGCCTCACGTTTAAAGTAGTCCCCAAAAGACCAAGAGCCCAGCATCTCAAAAAAGGTGTGGTGGTAAGTGTCACGGCCAACGTCTTCGAGATCATTATGTTTTCCACCGGCGCGAATGCAAAGCTGTGAGTTTGCCGCACGGGTAAGGCGGCCAAATTCGGTGTTGGGATCTGCCGTGCCGAGAAAGATGTTTTTGAATTGATTCATGCCGGCGTTGATGAAGAGCAGCGTGGGATCATTCTGGGGAACCACAGGGCTGGAGGGCACGAACGTGTGGCCGCGCCGCTCGAAGAAGTTCAAAAACTCCCGACGCACACGGCTGACGGGCCACTCAGTCATTCTTGCTGCTCGCGTCGTCGCGGCAGTGCAGGCCAGAGCGGGGTGAAGAAAGTGAGGGGTCAAACAAGGTCCTTTCTCTTGGCACGAACGGCAATAATAACCTCCAAAAAAAAAAAAGCGGAAAGTGAAGGAAAAGAACAAAAAACAAAAATAAAAACAAACAAGCAAAGAAAAAAGGAACAGAGTAATGGCAGAAAAACGCCGGTCAATGAAGCAAGAACACTGAGGAAACAACCAACCAAAAAAAAAAGTCACTCTTCAAGGCATAGATTTCATCAATGGTTTTGATTTGCTTTATCGGAGGTGTCCGTCCCCACTCCTCCACTATTAGCAAAGCAGACGACGAAGCAGACGCCCCGCAGACGCGAGACACGCAGCGACGCACACGAGAGTAGAAAGCACAATGATATTCATCCTGCAGCCAGACTGTCGCCGCATCCAGTCTACGCAGTCGTTGACGGAACACGCGAGTTCCGACAGGGTGCCGGTGTTGCAGATGACGTAGTCAGCACGTCTGCATTTTTCCTCTACCGGCATCTGAGCTCCTATGCGCTGCAACACCTCCTTTCGCGTGAGCCCGTTGCGCTTCGTGAGGCGGGCAACTTGCAGCTCCTCCGTACTTCCCACAACCACCGCAGCGTCGATAAACCAGCTGTATACTTTAGTCTCAAATAGGAGTGGTACATCCAGTACCACGAGAAGTGGCCCCTCGCCCCTCAAACGTTGTTTCGTGCTCTGCCACCAAAGCCGCAGCACTGACGCCATTATGGCAGAAAAAATGGGAAAATGCATGATGCGTTCCAGTTCGCGGCGAGCCTGCGGATCACGAAAGATGATGCCCCCCAAAGCGGCCCGGTCAAGCTCACCTGTTTGAGGGTCTACACACTCCGGCCACCGTCTCGCGATCTTGCGTGTACACGGCATGAAAGGGCGCTGCAGGTCCCGTACTACGCGATCCGCGTCAATCACTGGAAGCTGATGCTGCTTCTCCAGCATCGCCACTACCGTGGACTTCCCACACGCAATACCACCTGTGAGGCCAATTAGCAGCATGCAGGTCCAGGTGGGTAGCAAGATGATGAGACCCTCAAAAGCAATCCGGTGGGTTCAACGGAAGTTTCAGCCTGTTAATAAATCAAAGAAACAGAAATAGAGACAAGGAGAAGGGAGAAGGGAGGGGGGAGGGGTAAAGAGTTGCTCAAAGAGATGCATGCCAGCAGAAGGCAGTAAAGCATAGAAAGAAGGGGAGAAGGGAAACGGACGGAAGAAGTATGAAACAAAAAGAAAAAAAAAAGAACTCAAACTCAGCATGCATGTCAAAGAGTGGTACCGCAGGCCAGCCGTCTTGTTTGCTTACTCCTTGGCTGCCTTGGCCTTGCGAGCAGCGCGGGCCTTCTCAATGCGCTTCTTCGCCGCTGGCTTGCTGTCAACCTTCTTGGCGTTCTTCTGCAGTTTTTTGAGTGCGACCTTGTGCCAAGAGACGGGCTTCTTCTTGTCGTTCTCGTCAAAGATCTTGCGCGTCCAGAAGGCACGAGAGCGCTTGGCGACGCGCAACTGGTAGCGCTCAAAGTCGGTGGAAGTCGCAAGCGCCTTCTTTGCCGCAATGCGTACAGCGGCCTTCGTGGCAGCGTACTTCTCGAGAGTCTTCTTCTCCGCGAGTGCCTCCTTCAGTGCCTTTGTGCTGCAGTTGCGGTTCACCGGCACCCTGAACTTCAGCGGCTCAACGTTCTTCAGGTTCTGAACATGGCGCCACATCTTTTCGTCGGTAGGGTTCTCCACGAGCACGCGGTTGCCGTCGATGATGTCAACAACAACCCCGACGCGGTCCTGACGAGGGCCGCGGATGATGCGCACCAAGCGACCCGCGCGGATGTAGTTCGCGTTCACCATTTTGGACCTCTTTTTGACTGGCACAGTAGCGAGGCAGAAGCGAAAGCAGAGGAAAAAAAATGGAAAGAAAATAACAATAATAACAATAATAATAAAAACGCATGCCGTGCCCACTTGGCACCAGGAACGAGCATTCATGTGCACATCTAATGCAAAACACGGAGGAGGAAAAGTCAATTCAGCAACAGCACCAAAAAAAAAAAAGGAAGGACGCAGAGGAATGTGCATAGCCTCCTATGTACACAGCGAAACCAGCCTTACTTGTGGTCGTATAAATATATATATAAATAGATTATCTTGGTTCGTCCTGTTTCCCTTGATCGTCGGTTTCACTTCACCTCATCCGTATTGGGCATTAAAAAAAAACGCCAATACCCGTTGCTGACGCCGTCTTCCGCAATCAAACAGGAAGCTCAGAGAAGGTAATAAACGCGTCTGTCATAAGAAGACTCGAGGAGTGCAAGGTATCATACAAGGAATACGTCTCGTACACATGAAAGGCCAGCTGGATGCCCACTTGGAGACGTGTGCGGTCAAGGCGGTAAAGCGACACCAACGCTGCACCAATTGGTGTCTCATCACCGTCTCGCGGCCGCACCTCTGTGAGGTTCAGTCGTGCAAATTGTTTGGAGGTGGCACCTGGCCACTTCGTTAGAACAAGCTCATCATCCCAGCGCAGACTTCCGCTGGCGCTCTGGTAGCTTGCCTTCGTCTCACCCTTCACCACCTGCCAGCCCTGTTGATCCAACAGCGTGAGACTCACCTGGAACGAAGGAGAGATGCCTGTCGAGACCTCATATACCATGGGGAAGCCGCGTATGGTTCCAAGATGAATCGTACACTGACACGTCTTTTCTGAGAGATTCATGCGGGGTCCGTCAAGTGCAAATCGCCTCACATCGTCCGGCATCCTCCATGCGTTGTGATTCGCCTGCGCCCAAGAGCCGCCTGCAAAGCTTGAGTCAAACCGCGTCGTCGCCGACCCAGCGGTCAATGCACTAACGACAGGAACACCGTCCGCACGCACCAAGACGTTTTCCCCCTTGTCTTTGTCCAGAGCCACAATAACTCCCTCTGCCCCCAGTCCAGCCGCGCGGCCATTTGAAACAAAACGAAACACAGGCAGAAGTGCGCACACCAACGGAAACTCCTGTGACATCGAAAACTGTCTGTTTGTGACACATGTTGTGTTTAACCAGTAAAGGTACGGCGTGTCCGCCGTCTTTGGCTGAGGAGGAGAGTTATGAACGCTAATTGTAATAGGTGCAGAGGGGGGCTGTGAACCATTAACCGCAAGCTGCATTTGAAGCTCCTTCATGCATGCCCGTTCAGCAATGCTCCAGGTTGCCGTAAAGTATACGCGTTGTTGCGGTTTTACCGTGATTACTTGGGGAGGCTCCACCGAAATGTAATCCCGCGCGCCCGCGAGGGGAACTAATTGCATGGCTAACGCACCATTTTCCGTCATATTCATCGCACACATCACACTAGACACGATATACTCCCCGGTTCCAGTCAACATAAAGGAAGGAAAGTAGAAATCTAGTGTTGATACCCGTACAGAGCCAAAGTTGTACTCCAGTGGGGCAAACTCATCTCCATGGCGTCCATCCCAAGCGCTGCTGCGTATCTCCGCCTCAACCATGGCAAACACCGTTTCCGAATCAAAAGCAGTTTGGGTAGGAAAGAGATGAACGCAGTACTTGGCATACTGTCGCTTCTCCGTTACCATTCCAGAGCTGTTGATCAGCCCTGTCCCGTATATTGAGAGCGAGTTCTTTCCCCCGACAACCTCCAACACCATCATTGGCCCTTGATGATTGGGAACCTCTATGCCGACCACCTCGCTCTCGCCACCTGCCCAGCTAACACCCGTCCAACCCGTGTGACTCCCAATCATTTGGGGGCTGGTGGTTCCCAAGTGCTCCGACTCGTTCATCACGCGAATGGCAATGGGCTGATCCGACCCCCACTGCCTCTTTACACGCGTCAGCCACTGACTATTTTCCTCTGCTGTGTCTATAAAAATCATGCGATTTATGTACAACTTGTATGTCTCGGTTTCATGCGTGGCTGGTTTTACCCAGAAAGGCATGTTGGCATCGACTGAAGCGCTCATTGCCAATATTATGAATATTAGGGAAGGCTATCGCCACCGCCACCCACCGACGTTCGATCTAAACTGCAGAGTACGCGACCACTCTTCAGACGTGCTTGGGTGTCAGAGTTGGAGCCAACTTCAACATCTAACGGTAATTGTGCGGTGTCATTGGATGTGGAATTGGAAAAATAAAAATAAAAACAAAAATAAAGAATGGTATACGTTAACTGACAACAAGAGTTCACAAAGGCTGATCAACACACCCACTTTCAGTGCAGCTTGAAGGCAAACAGAGGAATCACTTATATGAAAAATAGAATTTATACCCTCCTGTCACTTCCGAATTGGCGGCTGAGTGGTTTTCTTCTTCATCATACCCTCCTCCTCCCAGCGGCACACGACGCCGCAGCGAGGCGGGCCCAAGGGGAATTGGGGAGGAGGGGGGGACCGAAAAACGGCAAATGCACCGCTCTGCTGAGGCCCGACCACGACCCACGCAATGGTCCACCGAAGCGAGTGCAAAAGAAAAGTGTAACATCTAATTATTCCAGGTGGATAAAGTAACGTGCGAGCCCTCGTCTGCTCGCAACTCCCTTACAGAAGCCTCTACAACAACATGTAACATACCGAAGCAGAGGCACCACATGGCAAAAAAACAAAACAAAAAAAAACAAGTAAATAAAAAGACCAAGTCAATTGGCTCGCTGAAGCGCGAGGTAGAC